AAACCCCAAAACCCCTAAGCTGGCCGAGATGCGGGTCTGGGTGATGACCTTTGGTACGTGCACCTGCTCCTCCTGGGTCATTGGGACGGGCACCTGCACGCAGAAGCCGTCACCGGGTTAAGGGTTAAGGGTTCCCCTCCCCCAATAATTAGGCCCGGCCCCGGCAATAAATTCTCCAAATATACAATAACAGTCTCTAAAGGCATTTCATGCGATTACGGGGGAAGTTCCGAAAACCTTCCCCCTTAACTTGAACCCTCCTCCCCCTAGTATAAAATACAGGTTCCACAGAAGTCCAAAATCTGAAACCTGCCCCCTGGACTACTTTTGAAAAGGGCCAAGGCTAAAGTTGGGTTTAGGGTTTAGGGTTTAGGGGCTCGGATCCTCTGAATTAAGGGAGGTCCCTAGAAAGACTCTTAAGAATAAGGGATGCCCTTGACTGCCTAGATGCTGATTGCTTTGAGTTGTTTTCATGAAGGAATTTACGCGAAAACAGAGAGCGACTTTTTTTGGCATATTACAAGTTAAAACCGTTCTTAACTAGATTGTGATTAAATCTTAATTAGATTTCAATTGAGTTTAATTGGAACCAAATTTAGCTTCCACAGAATTTAAATTGGGTTCTAATTAGATTTCACGTGGTTGTGATAAGGTTAGCTATATTTCACAGAGGTTTTATTTGATTTGATTACGAGTTGACAGTGATGTTGAATTGGTCTCATTTAGATTTCTTGAATATTATTCACTTGATGTTGACTTAGTTGTTTTTTTAGGTGCTTGATTAGATTTAGAACATGTTACTAGATTCAATAGAATTTCATTAGATTTGCTCGGCCTTTGAATTCTTACTTAGATCTCAATGTGACCTTGTTATGGCATCTATGAGCTCGCGATGGCGTGCACGTGAGCCTGTGGCGGGCGTGCTCCTCACTATATACCCCCTAATGTACGGATCCTACGATCAATACCCTGCCCCCCTAATATAAAATACTGGTTGGCATTTATACCTTGGGGGATGGAAGATGTTTAATATTCGGGGGAAAGCATTATTAGGGCGATGGGATTAGCCTAGAAGCCACAACAGTCATAACAATGGCTGAGACTAGGAGTTAAAACATGTTTCAGATGTAGTGTATCATGATTTAGGCAGACATTATATGGCAATGCTCTTACTTCTCCAAAATCCCATAGAAAGGTAGCAAGAGTGGTAGCTGCGGCTCATGGCGCGCAGCGGCTAAACCTGGTTCTGACGATTCCTGTCCAGTAGTGCTTTGTTACAGTCGTTATCTCCTGGACCTAAGCCCTTGACACTAAACCCTGAGGAGGGGGGTGGAGTCGGAAGAGGAAGCTTCCCGGCCTGTGTCGGGACCTTCCCAAGTAGTTCACATTGGCAGTAGGGTTTAGGCTTATGGGAACACCTCGGAACGAGTATGGCTACTAGCATTACTATGGTTACTATTATAACTCGTAGTACTACTAGTACTATTAGTACTATTTTTACTATTATTACTATTACCATTACTGGTACCCCTAGCCTAAACCCTAAACTGATCGAGTCTGATTACTGCGGTGAGGGTGGCCTCAGTGGATTGCAACCTTTGGGGCTTTAGGGTTTAGGGGCGGGCAGGAGAAGCTTCGCATTGCAATGAAACTTTGACGCCACGCAATTGGGAGTTTTCTTAGGTAGTGGATTGTCTAAAAAAAATTGTCCGATTGAACTATGTATCTTATTCCGGGTATACCTTTTGGGTTGGTTTTCAAAGGTCGAAGAGGGAGAAGCTCACCAAGGAAGGAATTCCAGACCCAAATTTTTCAGGGCTCTACATCACTTTTCAGCGACAGGTCTAAGAAGACTACCTACTTGGAGCGTTACAATCTGTAGATACCACCTTTAGTGGCAGCGGCAGGTGCTGGACCCTGAAAAACCTTAACCAAAACTCGAAAGTCCCAAATTAAATTAAATCCCTAATTAACACAAAATCCTTC